AATTCCTCCTAGCCAAAGCCCTCGGGACAGGAGAAAACTCACCCCTCTTCCAATGGATGTCTGCTAGAAGATCACTGTCTCTTGCTGACCAGGAGTGTGGCTGAACTGAGACAGAGCTTGCCTGTCCTCAGGCAGGCTCTCAAAGCAAAGGAAATGCCCCTGCCGGCCTGAGCCCACAGTCCAGGCCCAGCGTGCAAGGGAGAAGCTCTGGGGAGATCTTGTGGCCCCAGAGGGGAGAGGGGAAGAGAGGAAGGTGTACCTGGATAAAGGCTAGGACAGGATTCGGGAGAGCTCCGCAGGGAGGGCCCGCCTCTGCTGGGTGACCAGAAAGTCGAGGGGGGCGGGGAAAGGACAGGATTCAGGAGAGCTCCGCCGCTTTTTGGATTCTGACCCTGAGCTTTTATTATTAGTTCTATACTTGGTGCCCAACTTTTGGGGGCACATATTTATGAAAAAACCATTTGCCTGAGGCTTTCTAGCCACCAGCCCAAGCCAGAGATGAAATTAGAATTCCAGCTCGAGGAATTGGAACCCAAACCTATCGACCTTGGTTCAGGAGAAAAACTAGCACTCCCAGCTTCCATTTGCCACAGCTTAGCTTCCATGTAAAGATGGAAAGTACACATCTGCTTTTATATGATACTGCATATTATTGTGTTGCCTTTGAATTATTTGACTGCAGAGGAAGAAGCAACAGCTGCTAAAAGACTTTTGATTATAAATGTTGCTGGATTAATCCAATTTACACCTTTTGAAAATGTCTTGACTTCAAAATTAAGTCAAAAGATATGTTACTTTGGAAAAGAGGTTTTCTTTTCTTTCCACAGAAAGTGAGAGGCTGTGGATTCATTCTGGGTTAAGAAAAATAAAGTTTTTGGTTGGGGGAGCCATTATGGAGTTAGCAAGAAACCTGATTCTAGAACAATGCCCAAGAACTGACAGAGATGAACCCACCTGAGACCCTAAGCAATAGAGGAGAGGCTGTCTGAACTGACCCCACCCTGTATTCAGACTGAAACAATTTGCTTGAATAATGGGAACTCACCAACTCCAACTAGACTAGGAGTGAATGAGCATGAGAACAATAAAGCCCCTCTGAAGGGGGATGACAGCTGGGGCAGACTGAGGGGCCACTGACAGTGACACTGGGATGTGTCTCTACTGCATATACAAGCTTAATGGGATCTTATTCTCTTTGGATGTAAACCTTGCTCAATCAAGATGTAGTAGGGAGGGCCTTGGACTTTACAAGGGCAGGGTGCATTACACTCCCTTAGAGTTGGAGGGGTAGGGGGAAGGTCTGTGGAGGGAGAGGATGGGGACTGAGAGGAGGGGAGGGAGTGGAAATTTGGATTGGTATTTTTTAAGTAATAATAAAAAAGAAAGAAAAATAAGGTTTGACCAAGGAGGACCTCCTGAAAAATCTCCAATGGGAACAGATGACCCAGACATTCCAATGTTTCAGAGCGCATCTGCTGCAGTTTCCTCTGAGTTCTACATCCAGAACAGCTTCAAGACTGCCAGATGAGATGACACAGCCTCATATACTTGACTATAACCCTAAATTTTCTTTGGGTCACCATAAGATTATCAGTGCCCTCAATCAGCAGAAAGTAGAATAGAAAACTATGCCTACATCCCCCCCCCAAAAAAAATGAATTGTGGATGTTTATTTTTGTTTAATGTGTCAGTTACAAGTTATTGTGGCTAACGGTCAGAAAAAAAGCTAAACAAGGGAAATTAGATTCAAGGTTCTTGTTTTTAAAAGGGGGAATGCAGCACTTGGGAGGCAGAAGCAGGTGAATCTCTGTGAGTTCAAGGTCAGCCTGGTCTACAGAGCAAGTTCCAGGACAGGCTCCATACCTACTGAGAAACCCTGTCTTGAAAAACTAATTCCCATTCAGCAAAAAAAAAGTACTTTATTATCCTGCTAATATTTCTGGAGTTTTAAAATGTTCTAAGCATGTTTGTCAACTGAGGAGTTGCTGCTTGGGTTCTGAGAAGCTGGCTGTACTGGTCCAAGTGCTGGAGATTGTTCCTCTACATGTCAAAACATCCCATGATGATCAACTCATCCTGCATCAAGCAAGAAGAGATTTTGGCTTTATAGCAGCCATAATGGCAGCCATCGCTGTGACTGCCACAGCAGCTACTGCTGCTGGAGTTGCCATTAGTTAGTCAGTTGCTTCTGCTAGCACAATAGATACCTTATCAGGGCAGGTTGCAAATGCCTTGGTCACTCAAAATAAATACTGCAGTTAAATTTGCGATTGGTTTTGGTTCAAGACCACTGATAGGTTACAATTTAACAGGTACAGTGAAAATGCTTCATGCTGCTATTTACAGACCTGGGGTGTACAATTTACAAACTGGCTCTTGAGATTATAAGGTATTCCAGAGAGACGTGGGTGGCACTATGTGTCCTGCCTCTAGCTGTTCCTGGACCAGGGTATAAGCAGCCTGTAATTTTTCCTTACTTAGGAACCATTGCTCTATCCATACAAGTTTTTCAGTTTTCCATTTTATGGGAATGCTTTCTGGCTGCTCTGCAATGACCTCTAAGAAAAATTTCCCAACCCTGCATACTGTCCAGGTGACTGTTGTATTATTTTCTTGTCTGCTAAAATTTGTGTGTCTCCCTGCAGATCTTGCCCAACCCCTGCCCATGGACAAAGCCCTGGTCTGTTAACATGCACTGCACAGGTTTAGTGGTCAGAACTGCTCCCATAGTTTGCAAAATATCTCTTCCCCACAAATTGAGAGGAAGGTGTTCCAGGACAAATGGTCTAAAAATGCCCCTTATGACCTTCCTCATCCTTCCAATCTAAATATTGGGCACTGCACTCTGGAGAACCAGAGTTTCTTACCCCCTGCAATGCCATAGAGGCTGGTTGTAGGGGCCAGGCCATTGGCCAATGTTTTTTAGCAGAAGAATCAGCCCCTGTATCTGGATGATCTTGGAACTTTTTGCCATTAATTGTTAGTGTAAGTGCGGGGTGGTTTCCTAAACTAGAAACCCAAAAAGTTCTAGGGAGTCCCATGGAGCCAAACCCCTTATTCCCCCATTCTTGCTGTAGGAATAGATTAATAGAGCAAAACATGGATAAAAGCAATACTTGAGCTATTCTCACTCTTGAGGGATGACAAGGACTCCCACCCTAGCTTCAATCATAACTTTAATTTCTCCAGTATAATTTTTCACAGTCTATAATTCCTGGCAAAATTTTAATTCTTTGAAGTGCTGAACTACTCCTATCCAAGACTATACCTACTGAACCCTCTGGAATAGGTCCATATGCTCCAGTCCCCAAGGTCTGCACACCCATTTGTTGAGTCAATACTGCCCAGGCAGAGGTACAGAGATCTAGTCCTGCACTTCCTAAGGTGCCCCGGACAAGGTCATGGGCAGTGAGGTTTTTCTTTGAGGAACAAATCTGGTCTGCTCATGGCCCCTCCTCATGTTTCCTGACATGGGAATGGGATTTCATTGAATGTCAGTTTTAGAGCAACACTCATTAGCCCAAAGGGCCCCCTTTGGACATTTTGAACAAACACCTGGATTTTACCTGGGATGAAAAACCGTCCCTTTACCCACAGGGCAATTCCTTTGGAAATGTCCCCGTTGCCCACACTGAAAACAAGTCCTTTATCTAGTCCAAATTGAGTCCCCCTAAGGGCAGAAACATTTGCCTGTTTCATCACATGAGTGCCATCAATGCCCCTGCCTAACTCCTATTTCTATAGGGAGGGATAGCCTCCTGACAGTATTTGTTAGCATTTTCATAGGCCAATTGTTTTATGACAGGCATAACTGTGTTCACATTCCCGAAAATGTGACATCCCCGCTGTAACAGGCAGTCAACAAACTCAAGATAAGGTCCTGAGGGTCCTTGAAGGACCTTAGACAGTGGTTTCCCTGCTCCTTATTAGGTAAATAAAGCTTTCCCTGCTTTAACAGCCACAGCAGCTATCTGAGCACAAACAGCAGGATCATAAGTAATCTGTGCTGCTAAGCCCGCATACTATCCTGCACCAGTTAACGTGTCAAGGTTACATTGGGGGAAACCCACAGTGGTATTACGCAGTGAGGTATTTGAGCAATTTCCCTGCATTTCATCTCTCCATAACAAATAATCTCTCCCCGAAAGATAAACCCTGCAAAGCTACATCCAGTCACTGGATGTAAGGTTAAGTTCCACAATGGAATCCATTAAAGCCACAGTGAAGGGGACATGAATTCCACAGGCCATAACAGCTTCTCTTAGTTGCTTAATGTCCTTAAAGGCTAGAGGGTTATACTGCCGGATCCTCTGTCCTTGTGAATCAATAACTTCCACAACAGGATAAATTTACCATCTCACTGGCCCTATTTCAATGTTTATTCTTTGAGACAAGGTTTCTGTATGTTGCCCTGGCTACATAGAACTCACTATAGACCAGTCGGCCTTGTACTCAAAGCAACCTGCCTGTTTCTACCTCCTCAGTGTTAAGATTGAAGGCGTGCACCACCACTCCTGGCCTATTTATTTATTTTAAAACAGTGCCACCTGTGTTCCAGGCTGGCTGCTAACTCCTCTACTATGTAGGTGAAGATGATCTTGACTTCTTAATCTCCTATTCACGCCTCCAAAGTGCTAGGGTTTCAGGTGTGTACCTCCACCCTGGCCTTTGGTGGTTAATGTTGTTTGAACATCTCTCTGTAGCCCAGGCTGGCATGAAATTCACTAGATATCCCAAGATGACAACAAAACAAAGGCAATTCTCCTGCCTCAGCCTCCCTATGGATCTGGGCAACCATGCCTGTACATTTTCTCATAGCACAACTTTGATTAGAAATGTCATTAAAATTAGTACTCAGTGTAAAACCCTTCCATTCTATTTCATTTCTCATTTCACTTGATTATTAAGAAATCTATTTTATTTCCAGAATGTATGATGTTAGTTATAGCACAGTCAGGTTTGCAAGGGTTTCCAGAATGTCTGGAGGTCTCTGTTAGGACTCTTGGCAGGCGGAGGTCATTGCTCTTTGTCATTGGGAACAGAACCTGGTCGAGTGACTGCCAGGGCAGCATATACACTGGGCTCCTCTGTGGCTTCTCCTGCCTGGGAGCGGGAGGTACAGCTGTCCCCTGTCTGAGCAACCTGCTACACAGCTGGGATAGACCACATCTTGGGGCTCCTTAGATTCAGCAGCCTGGAGTGGGAGAGAGTGAGAGAAGGGGAGGGCATATAGTTCACTTGGGGGATGCTGAAGGCCTGGGGATGCGGAAGGTCTGGGGGATGCTGAAGGCCTGGGGATGCAGAAGGCCTGGGGATGCTGAAATCCTGGGGGATGCTGAAGGTCTGTGGGATGCTGAAGGTCTGGGGATGCTGAAGGCCTGGGAATGCTGAAGGCCTGGGGGATGCTGAAGGCCTGGGGATGCTGAAGGCCTGGGGGATGCTGAAGGCCTGGAGGATGCTGAAGGACCGGGAGATGCTGAAGGACCG